TTTTAGGGTCATTGATTGTCGGCCGCCGATCAGTTATAAACGATTACTAATAGAAGCGCTATCTAGCGGCTAATTTTTGCAACGAATAAAACTACACAAAACGCTTCATAATTATTGAATACGCCACGACAAACGACTTGGCTTGACTAAATCGCAAGTTCTGGATACTCGATATCATACTATACCGGTAAGGCGACGTGTGGTTGAGTTTGAAACGATTTGCGCGTACGTCAACAAGTCACCACAAAGACATCATTCGGTAGACGATAGACGTATTTTACGTATATTGTGTAGCCATCTAGCAACAGTGTAGAAAATCAGAGTCCAAGGAAAACGTTTTTCAGATAACTTTATCTATTAAAGAAATTTGCAATGAAAAATGTTTATTATTTAGGTAATATTTTACTGAAATGTATGTAATTAATTAATTCACATTTTCCACTTCGATTGAAATCGAATAAATCTGGTATGTTTCAATATAATATTAATATTAACAAGAATTATTCTTCACGGTTAATACGATAGCAATTATTATAATAGTAATTCTTGTGAAGTTATGCTTGTAACATAATTATTATAAAATTTGGAAATTTAATTCCATGACATTCTCAAATCTCCGCAAATACTTTCAATTTCATAATACTTCCCCGCCCATATAAAGTACCAACAAAATATCTTACGCGATAATACTACCTTGTAATTTTATTATCTAACACCTTATAACCACTAATTATTCATATTTACCTAACTCGATCATATTGATCCGCACAAGTCGAAAATATTACAACATTCACAATTGCAAGGCAAGTGTTGTATATTCCTCATCAACCATAATGTAAAAAACTGCAAACCTAGGCGTACCTCTATTGAATGGAGAAGGGGAGACAGGGTATTTGGTATCATAATGCTTGTTAATTGCTATTGTCTCTATAAAGAAAACTTATTAATATCAATCATGGTTCAAGATTATCTTATATTTGGAAAAAATACTTGAATTAAAGAAAAAAGTCTAGCTCACAAACAAGAAGGATAGCTGTTTCTCTTGTGCGCACGATTGCCACGATTTGACAATAAAATTTAAACGACCAGACAAATCCGTTTTTTTTAAGAATATATTTTTTCACAAAATAAAACAGAAGAACGTTCTATAAAAATCAATATAAATTAGTGTATTATATAAAATAATTGTTTTTATAATTAATGGATTTATCTGGCTGATTAGATAAGCTCGGATTTATCTGATGTTTATTGAAAATAATAGGTAATAAAAATAAAAAAAAGTAATATGCATATATTTTACAATTTAAGTGTGAAATATATTTTTGTATTTTAACGAATATAAATAATGTTTGCGTAGAAAACAAAAAAATAATAATTGTGAGAAAAAAACAGATATATTCTTTAGTCCATGTCGGTTCAAGTCCAATGCATATTTATAAAACGTGTACAGAACATAGACTAACTAACAGCGTCCTGTATTTTTCATAGAACTCTAAGTTTTAAATAAGTTTAACATTAAAAAAGTCACATTATAAAAGTTTCAACTGACTTGTCTGATTTTTACAGCAAACCTTACTAGATAATTAGATAATGATTTTAAAAAAACAATATGAACTGAACAAGTCACGTCGTCGATTTCTACAAATGTTTACTAATGAATTATAACACACTAACAATGAATATTACATTGATAAACCAAAATATTATTCCGATGTGTAAATCGTCGTGTCGCGGTCGCGATGGTGAAAACGATCACAACGATTTGGCGGACTAATAACGAGACCTGTCATCGAGGAACGGCTGTCGGGAACTCGACAATCGTGGCCGGTAGATGGCGCGGACGAACACGATCGTTTTGAGACGCGGGTGGCCGACGGGCCGTGGCCGGAATTCCGGGCCGAAAGAACGCGTTCGACGTACAGCCAACCTCCCAAAATTTGCAAATAAATATCGGAAGTATGTCTCGAACGGCAATGGTAGGATCGGAAACCGTCGGCTGCGTGTTATGTCGTAAACGGTGTACTGTGCGCTTCCGCAACGGTCGCGCGGAAGCCCGCCGTCATAAGTACGACGTTATTGGGTACGCGCGGCATACTTACTTGGCGTCGAGGTTAACCGTGATCAACGAGGCGGTTCCTCCAGGACGAGACTTGCCCATTGCACACCGGGCTGGTTGACCCCTGCGAGTATTCCTAATGCGAATACCTCGGACGCGTAATTTTTGGTAGCGGGGATCGCGTTCGCGCGTCCCACCTATTCTCATATGTGAAAATTAGTATAATATACTGTCTACCACTTGTTAGAGATATATCATCATTTTTAGTTTTTACTTACAAATAATATTATACGTATTTGAAGGGAAATCTTCGTTTTCAGTAAAACACCGACCAGATTATAAATTTTCTCGACTAGCATTACATGAAATGAAACGCTATAGTACACGTCCACTTATGACACGTTTTTCTTTTTCAATAGCAGATTATGAATATTATGGTCTTTTATTTTTAAGTATAGCGTTTTACACGTCCATCATCAAATCAAACGCTATTAGTGTATTAACAAAAATTTTTCCGAAATCTTCAGCGACAGTTAATTGTAGTGAACAAAAAGGAGTTCGAGGTGTGGTGCGAGTTACTAAAAAAAATTAACTTTAGTTAGCAACGTTAAACTTATAGTTCCCGGACAATACATTTAACTACAAAAGTTAATACGGAGTAAAACCCTAATTTAACCCGGTTAAGTTGAAGTTTGTCATTAATTATTTTTTTAATTACCATCTAGGCAACATCACTTAACGTAAATAGTAATTGTAAGTATGCCGCGCGTACCCAGCATCGTACTTATGACGGCGGGCG